CAGGAAACAATCAGCTCGGCTGCAGGAGGAAGTTACCTTAGTATCTTGGTTAACTGTTGAATGTCACTAATGTGTTGACAGACTGCTGCATTGGTACGCAGACTAGAGGCCAGTGTGTCCAGTGGCTTCAGGTAGAGGTGCTCTATATGAGGTCAGGAAACAATCAGCTCGGCTGCAGGAGGAAGTTACCTTAGTATCTTGGTTAACTGTTGAATGTCACTGTTGTGTTGACAGACTGCTGCATTGGTAAGCAGACTAGAGGCCAGTGTGTCCAGTGGCCTCAGGTTAGAGCCTGCTCTATATGAGGCCAGGGAACAATCAGCTCGGCTGCAGGAGGAAGTTACATTAGTATCTTGGTTAACTGTTGAATGTCACTGTTGTGTTGACAGACTGCTGCATTGGTACGCAGACTAGAGGCCAATGTGTCCAGTGGCTTCAGGTAGAGGTGCTCTATATGAGGTCAGGAAACAATCAGCTCGGCTGCAGGAGGAAGTTACATTAGTATATTGGTTAACTGTTGAATGTCACTGTTGTGTTGACAGACTGCTGCATTGGTACGCAGACTAGAGGCCAGTGTGTCCAGTGGCTTCAGGTTAGAGGCTGCTCTATATGAGGCCAGGGAACAATCAGCTCGGCTGCAGGAGGAAGTTACCTTAGTATCTTGGTTAACTGTTGAATGTCACTGTTGTGTTGACAGACTGCTGCATTGGTACGCAGACTAGAGGCCAGTGTGTCCAGTGGCCTCAGGTTAGAGGCTGCTCTATATGAGGCCAGGGAACAATCAGCTCGGCTGCAGGAGGAAGTTACCTTAGTTTTTTTGTTAACTGTTGAATGTCACTGTTGTGTTGACAGACTGCTGCATTGGTACGCAGACTAGAGGCCAGTGTGTCCAGTGGCCTCAGGTTAGAGGCTGCTCTATATGAGGCCACGGAACAATCAGCTCGGCTGCAGGAGGAAGTTACATTAGTATCTTGGTTAACTGTTGAATGTCACTGTTGTGTTGACAGACTGCTGCATTGGTACGCAGACTAGAGGCCAGTGTGTCCAGTGGCTTCAGGTAGAGGTGCTCTATATGAGGTCAGGAAACAAAAAGCTCGGCTGCAGGAGGAAGTTACCTTAGTATCTTGGTTAACTGTTGAATGTCACTGTTGTGTTTGACAGACTACTGCATTGGTACGCAGACTAGAGGCCAGTGTGTCCAGTGGCCTCAGGTTAGAGGCTGCTCTATATGAGGCCAGGGAACAATCAGCTCAGCTGCAGGAGGAAGTTACCTTAGTATCTTGGCTAACTGTTGAATGTCACTGTTGTGTTGACAGACTGCTGCATTGGTACGCAGACTAGAGGCCAGTGTGTCCAGTGGCTTCAGGTAGAGGTGCTCTATATGAGGTCAGGAAACAATCAGCTCGGCTGCAGGAGGAAGTTACCTTAGTATCTTGGTTAACTGTTGAATGTCACTGTTGTGTTGACAGACTGCTGCATTGGTACGCAGACTAGAGGCCAGTGTGTCCAGTGGCTTCAGGTTAGAGGCTGCTCTATATGAGGCCAGGAAACAATCAGCTCGGCTGCAGGAGGAAGTTACCTTAGTATCTTGGTTAACTGTTGAATGTCACTGTTGTGTTGACAGACTGCTGCATTGGTATGCAGACTAGAGGCCAGTGTGTCCAGTGGCCTCAGGTTAGAGGCTGCTCTATATGAGGCCAGGGAACAATCAGCTCGGCCGCAGGAGGAAGTTACATTAGTATCTTGGTTAACTGTTGAATGTCACTGTTGTGTTGACAGACTGCTGTATTGGTACGCAGACTAGAGGCCAGTGTGTCCAGTGGCTTCAGGTAGAGGTAGCTCGGCTGCAGGAGGAAGTTACCTTAGTATCTTGGTTAACTGTTTGAATGTCACTGTTGTGTTGACAGACTGCTGCATTGGTACGCAGACTAGAGGCCAGTGTGTCCAGTGGCCTCAGGTTAGAGGCTGCTCTATATGAGGCCAGGGAACAATCAGCTCGGCTGCAGGAGGAAGTTACATTAGTATCTTGGTTAACTGTTGAATGTCACTGTTGTGTTGACAGACTGCTGCATTGGTACGCAGACTAGAGGCCAGTGTGTCCAGTGGCTTCAGGTAGAGGTGCTCTATATGAGGTCAGGAAACAATCAGCTCGGCTGCAGGAGGAAGTTACCTTAGTATCTTGGTTACCTGTTGAATGTCACTGTTGTGTTGACAGACTGCTGCATTGGTACGCAGACTAGAGGCCAGTGTGTCCAGTGGCCTCAGGTTAGAGGCTGCTCTATATGAGGTCAGGAAACAATCAGCTCGGCTGCAGGAGGAAGTTACCTTAGTATCTTGGTTAACTGTTGAATGTCACTGTTGTGTTGACAGACTGCTGCATTGGTACACAGACTAGAGGCCAGTGTGTCCAGTGGCTTCAGGTAGAGGTGCTCTATATGAGGTCAGGAAACAATCAGCTCGGCTGCAGGAGGAAGTTACCTTAGTATCTTGGTTAACTGTTGAATGTCACTGTTGTGTTGACAGACTGCTGCATTGGTACGCAGACTAGAGGCCAGTGTGTCCAGTGGCCTCTGGTTAGAGGCTGCTCTATATGAGGTCAGGAAACAATCAGCTCGGCTGCAGGAGGAAGTTACCTTAGTATCTTGGTTAACTGTTGAATGTCACTGTTGTGTTGACAGACTGCTGCATTGGTACGCAGACTAGAGGCCAGTGTGTCCAGTGGCCTCAGGTTAGAGGCTGCTCTATATGAGGCCAGGGAACAATCAGCTCAGCTCCAGGAGGAAGTTACCTTAGTATCTTGGCTAACTGTTGAATGTCACTGTTGTGTTGACAGACTGCTGCATTGGTACGCAGACTAGAGGCCAGTGTGTCCAGTGGCTTCAGGTAGAGGTGCTCTATATGAGGTCAGGAAACAATCAGCTCGGCTGCAGGAGGAAGTTACCTTAGTATCTTGGTTAACTGTTGAATGTCACTGTTGTGTTGACAGACTGCTGCATTGGTACGCAGACTAGAGGCCAGTGTGTCCAGTAGCTTCAGGTTAGAGGCTGCTCTATATGAGGCCAGGAAACAATCAGCTCGGCTGCAGGAGGAAGTTACCTTAGTATCTTGGTTAACTGTTGAATGTCACTAATGTGTTGACAGACTGCTGCATTGGTACGCAGACTAGAGGCCAGTGTGTCCAGTGGCCTCAGGTTAGAGGCTGCTCTATATGAGGCCAGGGAACAATCAGCTCGGCTGCAGGAGGAAGTTACCTTAGTTTTTTTGTTAACTGTTTAATGTCACTGTTGTGTTGACAGACTGCATTGGTACGCAGACTAGAGGCCAGTGTGTCCAGTGGCCTCAGGTTAGAGGCTGCTCTATATGAGGCCACGGAACAATCAGCTCGGCTGCAGGAGGAAGTTACATTAGTATCTTGGTTAACTGTTGAATGTCACTGTTGTGTTGACAGACTGCTGCATTGGTACGCAGACTAGAGGCCAGGGTGTCCAGTGGCTTCAGGTAGAGGTGCTCTATATGAGGTCAGGAAACAAAAAGCTCGGCTGCAGGAGGAAGTTACCTTAGTATCTTGGTTAACTGTTGAATGTCACTGTTGTGTTGACAGACTACTGCATTGGTACGCAGACTAGAGGCCAGTGTGTCCAGTGGCCTCAGGTTAGAGGCTGCTCTATATGAGGCCAGGGAACAATCAGCTCAGCTGCAGGAGGAAGTTACCTTAGTATCTTGGCTAACTGTTGAATGTCACTGTTGTGTTGACAGACTGCTGCATTGGTACGCAAACTAGAGGCCAGTGTGTCCAGTGGCTTCAGGTAGAGGTGCTCTATATGAGGCCAGGAAACAATCAGCTCGGCTGCAGGAGGAAGTTACCTTAGTATCTTGGTTAACTGTTGAATGTCACTAATGTGTTGACAGACTGCTGCATTGGTACGCAGACTAGAGGCTAGTGTGTCCAGTGGCTTCAGGTTAGAGGCTGCTCTATATGAGGCCAGGAAACAATCAGCTCAGCTGCAGGAGGAAGTAACCTTAGTATCTTGGTTAACTGTTGAATGTCACTGTTGTGTTGACAGACTGCTGCATTGGTACGCAGTCTAGAGGCCAGTGTGTCCAGTGGCTTCAGGTAGAGGTGCTCTATATGAGGCCAGGAAACAATCAGCTCGGCTGCAGGAGGAAGTTACCTTAGTATCTTGGTTAACTGTTGAATGTCACTAATGTGTTGACAGACTGCTGCATTGGTACGCAGACTAGAGGCTAGTGTGTCCAGTGGCTTCAGGTTAGAGGCTGCTCTATATGAGGCCAGGAAACAATCAGCTCAGCTGCAGGAGGAAGTAACCTTAGTATCTTGGTTAACTGTTGAATGTCACTGTTGTGTTGACAGACTGCTGCATTGGTATGCAGACTAGAGGCCAGTGTGTCCAGTGGCCTCAGGTTAGAGGCTGCTCTATATGAGGCCAGGGAACAATCAGCTCGGCCGCAGGAGGAAGTTACATTAGTATCTTGGTTAACTGTTGAATGTCACTGTTGTGTTGACAGACTGCTGTATTGGTACGCAGACTAGAGGCCAGTGTGTCCAGTGGCTTCAGGTAGAGGTGCTCTATATGAGGTCAGGAAACAATCAGCTCGGCTGCAGGAGGAAGTTACCTTAGTATCTTAGTTAACTGTTGAATGTCACTGTTGTGTTGACAGACTGCTGCATTGGTACGCAGACTAGAGGCCAGTGTGTCCAGTGGCCTCAGGTTAGAGGCTGCTCTATATGAGGCCAGGGAACAATCAGCTCGGCTGCAGGAGGAAGTTACATTAGTATCTTGGTTAACTGTTGAATGTCACTGTTGTGTTGACAGACTGCTGCATTGGTACGCAGACTAGAGGCCAGTGTGTCCAGTGGCTTCAGGTAGAGGTGCTCTATATGAGGTCCGGAAACAATCAGCTCGGCTGCAGGAGGAAGTTACCTTAGTATCTTGGTTAACTGTTGAATGTCACTGTTGTGTTGACAGACTGCTGCATTGGTACGCAGACTAGAGGCCAGTGTGTCCAGTGGCTTCAGGTAGAGGTGCTCTATATGAGGTCAGGAAACAATCAGCTCGGCTGCAGGAGGAAGTTACCTTAGTATCTTGGTTAACTGTTGAATGTCACTGTTGTGTTGACAGACTGCTGCATTGGTAAGCAGACTAGAGGCCAGTGTGTCCAGTGGCCTCAGGTTAGAGCCTGCTCTATATGAGGCCAGGGAACAATCAGCTCGGCTGCAGGAGGAAGTTACATTAGTATCTTGGTTAACTGTTGAATGTCACTGTTGTGTTGACAGACTGCTGCATTGGTACGCAGACTAGAGGCCAATGTGTCCAGTGGCTTCAGGTAGAGGTGCTCTATATGAGGTCAGGAAACAATCAGCTCGGCTGCAGGAGGAAGTTACATTAGTATATTGGTTAACTGTTGAATGTCACTGTTGTGTTGACAGACTGCTGCATTGGTACGCAGACTAGAGGCCAGTGTGTCCAGTGGCTTCAGGTTAGAGGCTGCTCTATATGAGGCCAGGGAACAATCAGCTCGGCTGCAGGAGGAAGTTACCTTAGTATCTTGGTTAACTGTTGAATGTCACTGTTGTGTTGACAGACTGCTGCATTGGTACGCAGACTAGAGGCCAGTGTGTCCAGTGGCCTCAGGTTAGAGGCTGCTCTATATGAGGCCAGGGAACAATCAGCTCGGCTGCAGGAGGAAGTTACCTTAGTTTTTTTGTTAACTGTTGAATGTCACTGTTGTGTTGACAGACTGCTGCATTGGTACGCAGACTAGAGGCCAGTGTGTCCAGTGGCCTCAGGTTAGAGGCTGCTCTATATGAGGCCACGGAACAATCAGCTCGGCTGCAGGAGGAAGTTACATTAGTATCTTGGTTAACTGTTGAATGTCACTGTTGTGTTGACAGACTGCTGCATTGGTACGCAGACTAGAGGCCAGTGTGTCCAGTGGCTTCAGGTAGAGGTGCTCTATATGAGGTCAGGAAACAAAAAGCTCGGCTGCAGGAGGAAGTTACCTTAGTATCTTGGTTAACTGTTGAATGTCACTGTTGTGTTGACAGACTACTGCATTGGTACGCAGACTAGAGGCCAGTGTGTCCAGTGGCCTCAGGTTAGAGGCTGCTCAATATGAGGCCAGGAAACAATCAGCTCGGCTGCAGGAGGAAGTTACCTTAGTATCTTGGTTAACTGTTGAATGTCACTGTTGTGTTGACAGACTGCTGCATTGGTATGCAGACTAGAGGCCAGTGTGTCCAGTGGCCTCAGGTTAGAGGCTGCTCTATATGAGGCCAGGGAACAATCAGCTCGGCCGCAGGAGGAAGTTACATTAGTATCTTGGTTAACTGTTGAATGTCACTGTTGTGTTGACAGACTGCTGTATTGGTACGCAGACTAGAGGCCAGTGTGTCCAGTGGCTTCAGGTAGAGGTGCTCTATATGAGGTCAGGAAACAATCAGCTCGGCTGCAGGAGGAAGTTACCTTAGTATCTTGGTTAACTGTTGAATGTCACTGTTGTGTTGACAGACTGCTGCATTGGTACGCAGACTAGAGGCCAGTGTGTCCAGTGGCTTCAGGTAGAGGTGCTCTATATGAGGTCAGGAAACAATCAGCTCGGCTGCAGGAGGAAGTTACCTTAGTATCTTGGTTAACTGTTGAATGTCACTGTTGTGTTGACAGACTGCTGTATTGGTACGCAGACTAGAGGCCAGTGTGTCCAGTGGCTTCAGGTAGAGGTGCTCTATATGAGGTCAGGAAACAATCAGCTCGGCTGCAGGAGGAAGTTACCTTAGTATCTTGGTTAACTGTTGAATGTCACTGTTGTGTTGACAGACTGCTGCATTGGTACGCAGACTAGAGGCCAGTGTGTCCAGTGGCTTCAGGTAGAGGTGCTCTATATGAGGTCAGGAAACAATCAGCTCGGCTGCAGGAGGAAGTTACCTTAGTATCTTGGTTACCTGTTGAATGTCACTGTTGTGTTGACAGACTGCTGCATTGGTACGCAGACTAGAGGCCAGTGTGTCCAGTGGCCTCAGGTTAGAGGCTGCTCTATATGAGGTCAGGAAACAATCAGCTCGGCTGCAGGAGGAAGTTACCTTAGTATCTTGGTTAACTGTTGAATGTCACTGTTGTGTTGACAGACTGCTGCATTGGTACGCAGACTAGAGGCCAGTGTGTCCAGTGGCCTCAGGTTAGAGGCTGCTCTATATGAGGCCAGGGAACAATCAGCTCGGCTGCAGGAGGAAGTTACATTAGTATCTTGGTTAACTGTTGAATGTCACTGTTGTGTTGACAGACTGCTGCATTGGTACGCAGACTAGAGGCCAGTGTGTCCAGTGGCTTCAGGTAGAGGTGCTCTATATGAGGTCCGGAAACAATCAGCTCGGCTGCAGGAGGAAGTTACCTTAGTATCTTGGTTAACTGTTGAATGTCACTGTTGTGTTGACAGACTGCTGCATTGGTACGCAGACTAGAGGCCAGTGTGTCCAGTGGCTTCAGGTAGAGGTGCTCTATATGAGGTCAGGAAACAATCAGCTCGGCTGCAGGAGGAAGTTACCTTAGTATCTTGGTTAACTGTTGAATGTCACTGTTGTGTTGACAGACTGCTGCATTGGTAAGCAGACTAGAGGCCAGTGTGTCCAGTGGCCTCAGGTTAGAGCCTGCTCTATATGAGGCCAGGGAACAATCAGCTCGGCTGCAGGAGGAAGTTACATTAGTATCTTGGTTAACTGTTGAATGTCACTGTTGTGTTGACAGACTGCTGCATTGGTACGCAGACTAGAGGCCAATGTGTCCAGTGGCTTCAGGTAGAGGTGCTCTATATGAGGTCAGGAAACAATCAGCTCGGCTGCAGGAGGAAGTTACATTAGTATATTGGTTAACTGTTGAATGTCACTGTTGTGTTGACAGACTGCTGCATTGGTACGCAGACTAGAGGCCAGTGTGTCCAGTGGCTTCAGGTTAGAGGCTGCTCTATATGAGGCCAGGGAACAATCAGCTCGGCTGCAGGAGGAAGTTACCTTAGTA